CCCTGTAAACTAGAAGAGTTAGAATAAGAAGCTTATATGATTTTGTGCCAACTTGAGATACACTTTCTTCCTACATTTTTTGACATTAGGGTTCATCTAATAGTGCATCTAGTGGGGAAGGTAAAATTGTATGGCCCTATTTATTTACGATGGATGTACCCAATTGAGAAATACATGAAAATACTAAAAGGATATGTCAAGAATCCATATCAACTTGAAGCATTGATAGTTGAAAAATATGTTGCCGAAGAAGCCATGAAATTTTGTTCTAATTACTTGTCAAGTACAGAATCAATTGGACTTCATAAATCTCGTCGTGAGAAGAGGCAATTAGGTCAAGGCACATATGGAGTATCAGTAAAGAGCATGAGTCATGATGAATTACAAGAAGAACATTTATATATTTTGAATAATATTGATGAAGTTAAAGATTACATTTCTTCTCATAAAGAACTTCTAAAAGCAGAAAATTATCGAATGAGAATGACTGAACAATGGTTGTTGAAAGAGCATAATAAAACTTATGTAGATTGGTTCAAGCAGAAAGTTTTGAATGAAAGTAGCATTTCTAATACAGTTAAATGGTTGGCAGGAGGTCCTAACTTTGATGTTATATGTTAGAGTGCATATGATGTTAATGGGTGTTCTTTCACACAAAGTCCTTGGATGAAAAGAGTACAATACAAAATAGTGGGGTTATGAAGGTAGCTGAAGCTATTCACTTATCTAGCTTAAAAGATAAGAAACCTTAACTAGTAGCAAGGACTTATTTCAGGGTTATTGAAGAGATTTAGGAGGTTGATTATACAAAATTTAGAGTTCATGTTTTCAAATGCAAATGGGTTGACATCAACAGTGTTCATAATGATAAGTTAGGATTTACAATGGTTGATCTTAAAAAACTAACTTATGGGGATGAGCCATTTATCATGGCAAACCAAGCCAAACAATTTTTCTATGTGACAAATCCAAAAAATAAAAATTGGTCAATAGTACTAAAAAGAAAAATGGTGATTGATAGTGATGATAATTAAGAATCAAGCTTCGATATTTATGAAACCCCTACTTTCTCATTAGGGCTACCAATTAATTTTAAATGTAGTAGATGAAATAGATGACAAACATGCCATAATAAGTGATCACCATGAAGGGATATGGGAGAATATCCCTATATGAACTTAGTTTTTAAATTAAACTATGTTTTGTAAGTTCAATTAAATTTATATTATGTTTTCGAACTATCTTATATTTGTTTATTTTTCTAGTTAATTTAATTTATTTGAATTAATAGGAATATGGAGTATTAGAGTAAACACGGTAATGACACTCAGAGCCAGCCCACTATTGGCCAGCCACTTGGTGATGACTCGAGTCAGGGCAACCCTAATGAGAGCCAGTCTGTGAGGAGAGGTAGATGTGGCACACGATTGAGAGATTTGACATTAAGTAGGAGTGTTGGGCACAGGTTACCAATCCAATTTGATCAGAGATGGAATCCGATAGGGGAACACAAGGCCAAGTTTGTTAGTTTTCTTGGCCTCCTATCTCGTACCAAGCCCCCTATTGTATTTGAAGACTAGTTTGATATGCCAGAACATGTGAAGGATCAGATATGGGAAAGTATTTAGGTATGTAATTAATTTATGCATGTAGTTATATATCATTGTTAAATTATTGATTATCAACTTGTGTTTTAATTGTAGATCACATACGATGTTCCTTCTACTCAAGATTGCCGACACAGGTTGATTTCCTACTGTGGAATGCATTGGAGAAATTTCAAGACTGATCTTGCAAGGAGATATATCTATATTGAGGTGATAGAAGGTCAAGCTCATCCTAATCCTCTCGACATATACCAGTTCCTTGATGAAGATACTTGGCAAGAATTTATCAGGATTCAAACTTCTAAAAAAGCTTTAGTCTGTTGATTTCTAATTGATTTAAGTTTTTTTTATTTTTACTTCAACTATAAAATTTAAAATTCTTTTTTTAATAGAAAAAACGAGCTAAGGGGCAGGAAATTGCTTGACAGAATCAATGCCCCCACACGCTGTCTGTGGGGGTTATGCTAAGGCTGATAATATATTGATGGTGGAGAAACAGAAGAAGAGAGAAGAAAAAGCTAAGTCCAATCCTTCCATACTCCTTTCTCCACCATCCCCCGTCTCCCGAGAGGAGAAATGAAGATATAGACACCAATACAAAAAAGGAGGCAAAAAAGGCTATACAAGCGAGATGGCGCGTGAGATTGCTAAGAAGATTGTAAGTAATATTATTATTTCTTGTCCCTTTAAATTTCTATACAATTATATATAATATTAATTAAGATTGTTATTTTTATGTTACAGGATGCTCTTAAGGAGCAACGAGCCCAAGGAAGTTTCATTCCAGAGGGCAGAAATGATATCTTGATGGTTGTAACAAGAAAACTAGAGCATCCAGGTCATGTGAGGGGCATTGGACATGGTGTGGGCATAAGAGACTACTTTGGAGCACCTTTACGCCCCAACTTAGGAGGTATAGTGACTAGAGAAGAACTTGAAACTGTGATATCCACTGTGAGACAGCAAACTAAAGAAGAGTTTGAAGCTTCATTCGAGGCTCGGCTTTTACAAATGAAGGAGCAAATGAAGAAGGAGATGATGAGCATGATGAGCTCATGACAAGAGATGCCTACTGAACCAGTTCATACGTCTCTTGGATTTCATAACACAAAAGGGAGTAATGTTCTTAAGCATGTGTTAGAGGGTCCTTCTGGTGACAACATTAGTGTAACATGCGAGATGTTTCTAGAAGATCCTAATAGATGCTTGGTTGTTCTTGGTAGCGTTTACAACTTGGGGTCAACCATCTACTATAAGAAAATTCAAGATTGTCAAGTAAGAGCAATGGTTGAAGATCCAAAAGTGCCAAACACGTTGGTTCCATTCCCTACTGATGAGGTGAAGACTGTAGCAGAAGCTGTTGGTAATTTTATCCTGTGGCCCAAGAGACTTGTGAATATGATTCAACTTATGGTATGCAATTTTATTATGTTGCAGCTTTCCTAAAATGTTTTCTTACTAACTATTTCTTTCTTTTTTATTAGGTATAATAGCTTTTCTTGCCAAATCTCTCAAAACTTTCAAAACCTTTATTAACTCTACACCAACGAATGATCTTAATGGCGTATGATCCATTATTCAAATTTAAAGATTTAGAAATGGATCTGAAGATTGTGGGTAAGAAAGACATGATAGTGAAAATTGAATGGGAAGATTTGCTTGGACTTTTGTCAGATAGTTAGCTTACCACACCACACATTAAACTATTTATGATGTTTGTGTTTCTTTAATGAAATTAACTTAATTATCAAGTCTAGTGATCTAACACAATTGCATTGCTGTAGGTACCTTCATCATTTGTGCATCACATCGAGCAAAGGTGATAAGTTTGAATTCCTTTGCCCATATCACATGATAGAGAAAGGAAATACTCTAGAGGTAAGGGCCCAGTATCTCTAGCAAAGAATATGTGAAGTCAAGAAAGATGTTTTTATGGCTCCATACGTGCACTCATAAGGATTAATTTGTAATTAATAGTTTTTTCGATGTAGATTTACGTTAACTCATCATATTTTGCAGGGAACATTAGTAGTTGTTTGTTCTTTCAATAAAGAGAAACACTATTGTCTTCTTATGTTCCCTCCATTATAAACTAGGGAAGGAAATGAAGAAGACGATAGACTAGTATGTATATTTGTGCAAAAATATTAATATAATTTACACTAAATATTTTAGTTACTAACTTGGTGATCTTGAACATAGAAAAATGAAAACATATCAAAATGTGGTCTTGCAAAAGCACGAACATGAGCTCAAGGATCCTACATGAATCGAGCCAAAGGTAATGCTATACTTTATGAATATGTTCAACTACTAAGATTTTTTATTGATTTCTTATGATTTATTCTTATATAGAGCCATAGACAACCAGTGAAGATGAATTTGTGTGGCCTATATGTGATGAGACATATGCTCAACATTATCACATTAGGCATGACTGAATTTACAAAAGAGGTATATATATTTTTAAGAGTTTTATTTTATTATGTTATTTGAGAGTACATAATAAGTCTCTTTTACAAATTATATTTTAGATGTTTGACAATTGGAATCCATTCCCCGAAATAGAAATTAAAGACATTCACATACGTTGGGTAACTTATTTTGGGGAGAATTTGTGAGTTTTGTAGAAAATTTCATACAATTTAAGAAGTTTGTTAGTTGTAGACAACTTTTAAAAACATTTGTTGACACAATGTTTTGGATAACTCAATATATAGTTTTTAGATAATTTATATATAACTTTAAGTTTTGAATAGTTGTTAATTTAATTTTATATTGGAAATTGTAAATAAATTATGCTGTCTGATTTGGCTGTGGTAATTTTTTTGTACAAAGTAGGGTAAATTTAAAAATGTGGACATTTATTTAAAAAAATGCACTTTTTATAGCAGTTATTACCATAACCGATGTAGAATAGTAATTTCTTCACTAGTTATGATAATAATCAGTGTAAAATAGCAAACTTTCTACACTGGTTGGAAGTCCATACCCCAATTTTTAATTTTTCAATCGTTGATCTATTTTCTACATCGGTTATAGTTGGCTGATATAGAATATGTATTTTTTACAACGGTCCTATAATCGATGTAGAAAGCCTAACTTTCTACATCCCTTGTAACAACATTGCTTATTTAACTGCTATAAAAAGTCATTTTTGTAGTAGTGAAGACCTAACGGTCTGATCAAAATTTGGACACTTGGGGTGCAAAAGTCACTTTTTTTTGAAAATTTTGTCCACTTAAACACTCAAATCAATTCCTTTTTCTCATTAGACCACACAAGGCCTTGAACCAAGTCCAAAAGGATCTATTACATTTGATTAACCACAATATATCACACATACACACATATATCAAAATTTGACCCCTCAACAGTCAATTTTCACATTTCTAAACTTTTTACAAATCAGCACATTTTGACCTACTTGGCCCCTTTTCTCAGCACATTCATATATAACCATATCCATAACATATTCACAATATAATCTTAGCCCCAAATTACTTATTTCATCATAATTTTAATACATGGGCTAAGATTCACAAAACACAACATTTTCAACACATATACACCCAAATCTTAGCCCTTGATTCATTTCACGACATATATATACAATTGGGTTAAGATTTCACAAAATCACTACTCAAAACTTGCAAGCATCCCTATGGCAACTTATATACACAAAATTCACCCTAAATCGGCTCATTACACAAACTCAAAGCTTTTACACAATCACGACACCATTATGTTGGTCCAGACTCTTTTTCTTTACCCTTATCACTACTTCGTCCTGTAAAAATATAAACCACGAGGGTGAGATAAAAATCTTAGTAATAGTACTCACTCCTATTGACTATCACATATAACTATATGGAAGTAAAGCATAATGTATCCTTAGTCATAACATAATCTAATGTTTCATTTTAAATATCACTTACATCAATCATTTCATCACTTCTACACTTGCTTCACCACTTTTTGCAATATCCTCCTCCTTCAATCCCATAATTAAGCTCAAGTCCTAAGTAATTAGGAAAATGGGACAATAGAAATCATCAAATACATAATTCTTGTTGGTTAACAAAATGGGGACCCTAAGTTTATAAAACTAAAATCAATTCAAGTCTTACAAAGAGGCAAATCAAAGTTTGCAAATACGCAGAAGCAAAGGATCATCGTATAAGTGAGTACATTAGTGCAAGAATCTAAAACAAGAAAAATTCTAAAAAATTATAAGGCATGCACTGCAGCTCGTTAAACATGCACCGCGGTATGTTCACCTCTATGACACGCACCATGGCTTATGACACCGTGCATCGCGGCATGGCTCATAACATCATGCGCCGCGGTGCGAATGCACGAATTTTGATAGTGAATTCTACTATCAATTTGACAACATTAGGGCTAACTTCCAATGTGTCTCAAATCTCCGTCCAACGTCCAAATTATGTGAACTAGGAGTCTACAGGAAGCTCTTTTCAGGCTCTAACCAATGGCATCAGTCTCATACTCAAATTCTTTTTAAAACAAAAATTGGAAACCCTTTTTAAAACTTACACCTTTGTAATAGATTTCACAAATTTCAAGTGTCCTAACCAAAGTCAAGGACCAATGGCCACTGACACCAAATGATCACATAAAAATCATCAAGATTAACTCGTGCAATACATTAATACACAAGAAATAATTCTAGATTAAATTTTCACTACTCAACCCCTTTAATAAAAAAATATAGGAAGGGGGAGTTTACAACAATTTCCATCAAGATTTCCCAAAAAATTACATAATATTCACTACCCTCACTTGCATTAGTATTTTGGCCCTATTATCATAACACATAACAATCAACTCTCTCCTAAGGGCCCAAAAAACTTATAATTTTCATTTCACTTAATGCAAGTAAGTAACAAAAAGGAAAATCCTAGTTGGCAATCGAAATTGTCATACACATAAGTTACCTAAAACAAGGAGGCTTATTACAAATGGGTCACGATCTTAAGCCTCGAGGTATTTTCCTCTATCCACACTTCTTGAGCTATTCCCTGAAATATTGAAGATAATGGGATGAGTATAACTACTCAGTAACCAAGGTCCAACTAGCCCATACTAATGCATATCTATTAGTTTAAATGCAAGTTGCAGTTAATATTAATACTTTAACCCATATGAGACCACTGAAATTAGATATTCACAATTCAGCTTACATAATAGCATCTATCTGGAAAATAAGGCTTTTAGCACCTTTCATATAAATAGAGTTGATCACACAAATCATTGACAAGCATAATGGTAGAAATTAATACTCAACTCAAAATGTCATCATTATGGACTCAATATAGACAACAACTTCCTTTACTTACTATATGTATGATCACACCTCCCTTGTATCCTCCTTATTCCTTTGACACGAAACTGTGGGCTATAACTCAATGAGATAGTCTATGTTTCTTGACTTCCCTAGCCTAAATACTTGTGAGGCGATTACCCGGCCAAGGCATACTTGACTCACTTATGGATCATGGTTTCCCCTATTTCTCATATCATGAGGTGTCATACACCCTAGACTAGCATCCTCATTGAATTGGTGGATAGTTAGCTAAGTTCGAGTCTCTCATTCAACCAGTAGGACAGTCCCTCATTGAACCAGTGGGACAATATGGATAGAATTAATCTAGAAAATCCATCACACGAATGGGGACCTTACCACATAGATTTATCATCTACTCTGCTTCCTAGGTGAACTCCCACCTCTCAAGATCATGCAATGCACATTTATGTCATAATTCACACATATACCATTCATAGAACTTCACATTAACAATTTTCATTGAACTTCATCATTACACAATCATTTGATTTCTCAAACACATTTCATGGAATTTCATAACCAAACAAGTTGTTGAACTCCCAAATCACAATCATTATACCTCACACTTTCAAAATCTAAACATCATTAAACTCCTCCTAAACAAAGATTCATTTTACTCCTCTATTTGCAAAATCTTTGAACTCCCAATTCACAATCATTGCATCTCATACTTTTAAAATAATTAAACTTCCCTATTTTCAAACATTATTGAACTCCTCCTAAACTAAAGACTCACTTTGCTTCTCAATTTGTAAAAATCATTGTACTTCTAATAAACATTAATGTGAAAATCCACCACTATTGTTCTCAAGGAAAATTTTGCATCATAAAGCATAAAACTCACAAATTTGATCTAGTTGATTTCTTCACAAATTAAGCCACACTTGCATTTCTTCTATTTTATACATTTCAAATGATAATTCATAAATCAATAAACTAATAGACACACACAAACATAAGATAAAATTCCCCCGGTTCTCTCAAACCTTTGAGAGGTCAAAGATTTAACCCCTCAACTATTCACTTTTGAAGCTTCCAAGAAGCTTGAATGGTGCCAATGGTAGTTACACTACAAGCATTTACCATGCAAAACATCAAGATTCATTTTGAGCTAATTTTCATTAACATTTCATCATTTCTTAATACTCAATATTTATTCTAGACTCATGTAGAAGTACCTATAAGGCTTATTAGCTTCCTTTAACTCTTATTAATAATATTGAGCTCCTAAATGAGCATTAATGAAGCTACAATAATCCCAATGACTAAATTTATGAGAATTTTAGACATTTAATATCCTCCAAGCACCAATCATCATAAAATCATAAATATCAAGTTTACTTAGCTCAATCTACTCCCATTAACTCTATTTAAGTTAATGGTTTCAGGCCCATAACTTTTATGAACTAAAAATCACCATTAGCAATCAAACCCTAACCTCTACCATCAAGAAAATGAAAGAAGAGAGGAAGATTTAAGTAAGGAAGCTTACCTTTGGTGTTTATGAGCTCCAAATTACTCCCAACAATCAGTTTCTTCAAGCCCTACCTAAGCTTTTTCGCTACTCTCTCATTCTCTTTTGTTTTCTCATCTTTTTCACTTCAGATTCACGACTTAATAGTGTAAAAATCTGACCATGTGCTGCAGTGGACGCACAATGCACCGTGATGCATGGCACAGAGGTCTTCTTTTAGGCTTTTTGTCATGCATGCACCATAGTAGGCCAACCCTATGCCACGGCATATGGTACAAAATTACTTCTTTCAAAAATTCTTCCTCTTCTATTCTCAAGTGACCCGATTCTCCTTCTAACCCACGTTTAGAACTAAAATCAAAACCAAATATGCTCGTTAGGCCTCTCTAGCCACACACCTCATAGATACACTTTATTAGTCTATTTAAGCTTAATAAATCTGGATATAAAATTGAGGATGTTACACTTTTCTCTACTCTTCCATTAATACAGCATATAGCGACACATAGCATGATCACTACGGATTAAACCTCCAAATCACCTCGACACAAAACTATAGGCTTGCCTTAGACTAATATACACACTTATTGGCCTTAAGCTCACCTTTAGTGGTAGAATCACCTAGCCGTAGCTATTCTATCTCACTTTCGAACTATGGTTTCCCCCAATACACACAATAGGGTGTCGTTGAATCTAACACTGTATCTAACAGACTCTAAGAAGTCTTAGATCTCCAACACCACACTTCAATAGGCACTAATGAGATCATCTCCAACACCACACCTCAAAAGGTACTAAAGAGGCATAATTCTACAACACTATACCCCATCGGGTGAACTCTTGGCTCTATGATCATGCTTTCCGAACCATTTATAGGTTCCTCATCATCACTTATCATGTTTCAATACATCACATATATACACCTAATATATATCAAATCATATGTTTCAATAATTCTTATTTGATTAAAAGTCATTTCATGCAACATTCACAAAATGCCATAAATCATTCTTAGTTGAAAACCATTTCATGCACTACATAGCAAACTCACACACAGTTACAACAAATAGTTAAACAAAGAAAGTTATTTGGATGCCTCAACCTTTTTGTCACTAGAAAGGTTACCCATGAATTTCAATTACCACTATAGCTTATCACTAGCTTCCTTTCTCAACTCACATGCTCAATATGCTAATCTGAACACATTTGGCATAATTTAGTCATTTATTCCAATTTGATCAAAAGTACATATTTACTACTTATGGCTATATTTAGCTGTCTATTCTTTTCCATTTATCCAATCTAAATCTACTAATACTCGATTACCATCTTACATCACCTCAACTTGTCTTACTTTGTTCAAACATGATTTTTATCGCTTTCTCTCTGTAACTTAGGGCCAAATTGAGCTTATGGGTTTAAATCTCTATCGTTAAGCTCTAAACCATTCGTAAAGTTCTAATTTAACTCCTAAGAGCCTTTTTATTACTATCGGCCAAGAATCAAAACTTTAAAATTTCACCAATTTAATTTTTCTATAACTCATATTTAGAGAACTTTATGTAGAATGAAATGTAAGAGTTATACACAGCTTACCTGCTAAGTTACTGATCAGAAGCACCTTCAATGACCCAAAATGGCTTACCCTAGCACATCAGCTCTTCTCCTCTTCTCCTCTCGCATGTTTCTGATCTCTCCCTTTTGAAAATCGCCCAAAATTCATGGTTTAAGGGGTCATTTTCTAGTCCATGCACTGTGGTGCATGCAACATAAGCTGTGACACATGGCACAGTGAGAATAATTCTTACCACGCACAGTTGCTTTGACTTGAAATGCGATTCTCTCGCCCATATCTATTCATACAACATCTTAACAATCAAACTATCAAGTAATCATCTAAATCTCTAATCTCACACTAATTACCACTTTATTTTTAACTAACAACTAATCACGGGATTAAGAAAATCAAGATGTTACACCTATATCAAGATTTAAGAGCATCCTGAGTTAGTAGAAGTTAGTAACGATTTCCATGAGGGACTTCTAAATCCCCTGAAGTGATTGTGATATTTTACCTAAGTTGATATTTATTTATCAAATTTAATCCTTGAAGGGTTATATTAAACTCTCATAGGGTTAAGTTAGGTAAGTAGATTTTCCATCTCTTTAGTAGAATGACTTGGGAACCTTGTTTAAGATGCTAGATCTACCTTAAAACTTGCACATTACATGAAACTAGTAGCTACCATAAGAGCCAACATGTAAGCTCGTACGCTAAGATTTGCCTCCTATAAGGCACAAGGAGAATATACTTTCTTCATGCATCAATTTTTAACTTCAAAATTCCCATATTAGGAGTAAGAAATTGTTACTCTATATCAAAGTAGCATTTTTAATATCATTACACTTAAAATGTGCCACAATGAATGTATTTAGACTAGTAACTTCCCTCAAATTTAAGGGTTCCTAACCCTACTACACCATCAAATTTAAGGGTCCTTAATCACTTAAAATGTGTATAAAAAGTAAGAATCTTTTTATGCACATTTTTAATATTTTTGTATACCACCAAAATAATTAATAATGGGTTTGCACTAGTTAATATAGAAGTTTTTTTATCTTTAATGATGCAGTGGCCCAGTCACTTGAGATTTGTGGTTTGACTCTATTCCCACGAGATACAATAAGGATCTATGGGGAGGGAGATAATTTTTTTTAATAAAAAGGAGTGAAAAAAATATAACATGTGAACTATTGTAATCATTTAAAGTTGAAAGGCTAGAGGGTAATAAGAACGTTAGCTTATTACAACCAAGGTAATGGAAATGAGTGGTTTTGAGTAAGAGAAAGGACTAGGTGCACGCCTTCAAGTAATCAAATCCCCAATCAAATTACCTGAGAATTGCAAACATCAAGGATTAGGGTATGAGCCTCCCTTAGAAGAAGAACTAAGGGAATGAATAAACTTGGTAAGGAACAAGAAGGTTGAAGGTTGAGAAATCCCTCACCTTAGAGACACTTTCTTAACATCATCTGAAACCAATCATCGCTCTAATTGATGAAAGGGCTTATGCATGAATCTTAATGGACACTCCTGGAATTGCATTGGAAAACTGGGAGATTAAAGATGAGTTTGATTTTATAACCTTAGGGTAACTTGTTTAGTTTAAGTTGTTCCTTTTATATTTTTCTTTTTGTAGTTTCATTTCTTATCCTTTGGGCATACTCTTATACGACTTATGAATGATTTTTTCTTTTTGCAATACAATTCATTCTATTCCTACCCATTCTTTTCTCTCATTTCTATATTGTTTATCATCTAATCTAGGAAACCAATTTCCTTGGAACTCTTACCTAATGTGAAAGTTCTGAAGCCCCTGAATGGTGATTCATCAATTACCTCTGATATGCATAATTATGAGTGTGATGACAATGATATAATCAAAATATACAAAAAAATCATGGACTTAGACAAAAGGTGAATCTGCCCGCATGAAAAAATGATTGAGATAATAAGCATAAGGACTAGTGAAGTGAGAAAGAGCTAGAAATGGTAGATAATCCTGGAAGGGGATAAATGATTGAACATTTTAAAGAATAATTGGTTGTATTCGCATGGTCCTATTGCGATATGCTTGGCCTTGACCTAAAGATAGCATCACATTGAATTCCTGTACTTCATAACTCTAAGCCAAAGAAATAAAAAATAAGAAAGTTGATGACAGATATGTCCTTAGTGGTATGAGAGGAGGTAATGAAACAATTGCATACTAGTTTTGTAGAAGTGGCAAAGTACCCCTAATAGATTGCAAACATTGTCATCATTCCAAAAAAAGATGGTCATTTTCATTGTTATTAATACCAGACCAGACTAGCCAATTCAACCAATTTAACCAGGAATTGGCTAAGTAATTGGTCCGAAAGTGACATAAAACTAAGGGATAAGAGAACCACTAGCGAACTGCCTAAACTAGAAGTGAACCGAATAGAACTGGGAGAACAAGCTATCCAAATAATTCCCTCTTTCCTCCTTAATTTCACAAAACAACACCATTTCTAACTTTAATAAAATTACTAGGAGACCAAGGCACAAAAGGGAAATGCACAAATCCTAAAATCTAAAACCTAAAACTCTTGTGGCTAAATCAAAACCCTTGGCCTCTTCTTGCTTGAGTTTGACCATTGATCATCTTTCTCAATCCAATCACACTCCTCTATCCCTCATTGACATCATCACACTATCAGAGACTCATAGTTGTGCTCGACTGCTCAGGTTCATGTCCATCTTCTAAACTCTAGCCATGTTCTACTTTAACCTTCAACTTTCTTCCTCAGCCCTAATGAGAAACACAAGAAATATTTAATAGCAAGAATTAAATAGGGTAGGAGTTGGCAGGTTTTATGGATGGATGAGAATTCTCCTTAATTAATTAATTATTATTTTCCTTTTTCTTCACCTTTTCTTTTTTCTTCTTTTTGGATTTTGTTGTTTTTTTTTGCCTGTGTTGGTTTTGTGAAATCATTAGAATAATTTGATGGAGATATATGTATAATATGCACATATATGCACATTGACATTCATCTTGCATGTTTTTAACTTTTAATTATTTTAATTTATCAATTTAACTAAAACTTTTAGTATATAATATTTAAAATATATTAATTTAATCATAAAGGGTCCGAACCTAGTCTGACCTTTAAACTGTGAACCAATGCCTCAACTGGTCCAATGGCTAGTCTAGTTTTAATAAAAATTGGTCATTTTCAAATGTGCATTAATTATCGTGTCTTAAATAAAGCCAGTCCAAAAAATGATTTCCTCTTGCCCCATATCAACATATTACTTGATAACATAGTGCAAAGCCATATATATTCATTTATTGATGGGTACTTTGAATATAACCAAATCCCCATGTACTTATTGCTATAAATTCATGCCTTTCGAATTAAAGAATACAGGAGCAACTTATCAACGGGCTATGGTAGCACTCTTTCATGATATGATGCATAAAGAGAATGAGGTATATGTGGATGACAAGGTAGCTAAGTCTGCAGAGGGTAAAAGTTATGTATTAATACTTAGAAAATTGTTTGGAAGACTATGAAAATATAAACTTTGGTTAAAACTAAACAAGTGCATTTTTAGGGCATTTTTCGATAAACTACTAGAATTTATTGTGAATCAAAAAGGTATTATAGTAGACCCTGATAAAGTAAAAGCAATTTAAGAAATGTCATCCCCTTAAACAAAAAAAGAAGTTTGAAGTTTCTTAGGGCAATCAAATTACATCGTACAATTTATTGAAAAATTGTTAAAGATTTGTGAACTAATATTCAAGCTTTTAAGAAAGAACAACACTAAAAAATAGAATGATGATTAAGCAGTATTTATTAAATCCTCTAATTCTAATTCCTCCTACCTTAGAATGACTACTCATCCTTTACTTGAAAATATATCCTAATTCAATAGGGGCTATGTTGGGACAACATGATGCATCTAGAAAGAAAGAACAGACAATCTATTACTTGAGCAAGAAATTCAATGATTGTGAATTTCATTATTCAATGGTCGAGTAAACTTCTTATATTCTATTAGGAGGCTAAGGCAATATATATTCTATTATACTTCATGGTTGATCTCTAGAATAGATCTGCTTAAATATAACTTTAAGAGCCTGCATGTTATTGGCAGGGTATCCAAATGGCAGGTGATATTATTTGAATATGACATAGAATATCTAAGTATAAAAATCTATCAAAGGAAGTGCAATAGCTGATTACTTGGCTGAAAATCCTTTAGATGAACGTTAGCCATTGAAATTCCAATTTCCAAAAGAAGACATATGCACTATGGTAAAAGCCTAAGAAAAATACAAGGAAAGTGAGTAGGAGATGTATTTTGATAGTATTGCTAATTGCATGGGAATGGTATTGGAGCAGTAATTGTATTCCCTAACGGGAAGCAATTCCTAATCATTTTCAAGTTAGAATTTGACTATACAAATAATATGGCAAAATGAGAGACCTACATTAATGGTCTCCAGGCCGCCATTGATTTGGGTATAAGGAATTTAAAAGTTTTTGGTGATTTCACCCTTCTAATTTATCAAGTGACTAGTGAATGGCACATTAAAGATTCAAAAATGATCCCTTACTAAGAGTACTTGATAGAGATTATCAACTAATTTGAAGTAATTAATTTTCACCATATAACTAGGAACACAAAATGCTTCGCCAATGCTTTAGCTACCTTGGCAGCCATGATTCAACTCAATTGTAGGGTCCATATTCAACCTATCTAGATTGAAGCTATAAAGGTACTGTTTTTTTGCTTGAATGTCGAGAAAGAGGGTAATGATCAACCTTAGTACTATAATATCAAACTTACATGAAACACAGAACTTACCTTACTAATGCCACTCACAGTGAAAAGAAAAGCATACAAAGATCCTTGTTGGGTTTCTTTATCAATAATGACAACCTAGATAAGAGGAATTTTGATAGGACCTTGCAATATTATGTGGATTCTAAAGAAGCACAAAAGATTATGGCTGGATCCTTCAAGCAATATGTGGCACACATATGAATAGCCATTTGATGATCAAGAAAATTCAAAGGTATGGCTATTGTCGCACCTGAAAAATGCAATGCGGACAACACGTGAGTGGAGGTTCCAGCCTTCGCGGCGAGAACCAGATGAGCGAGGAATCGCCACCAAAATTTTGAGATAAATCTTCAGAAACCAATTGAAGGAGAACAAGGATGGTCTATGAAAATAGAAAATAGGTTTGGGAGTTAATTAAGTGTGGGGAAGGTGTGAGGCACCCTATAACACCCGTTTGTAAGAATGGTAACCTGAAATTTATTGTGCAATATTAATATGGTTTTAAAGTTATTTTAATTATCTCTTTTTTATTCATGTGTTTTAAAAAATGATAATAATAAAGTGGGGAATATTTATTTATTTACGAGGGAGGACTTGACTTAGAATTTGACTCTAAGGCCTATGTACCCTGTGATGGGAATCAAAGTCCACATAGTTCGGACCTAAAAGTTGTTGGTGAAAATATTTTTTTGAAGAGAAATTAATTAGAAATAATTTACCATTTTGCAAATAAAACAATTTCTAAAATTTTGATATGTATGTTTTAAATTGTAAAAAGTAATTGAATTTTAATTATTTTCTCAATTTTTGAATTTTTAGGATAAGGAAAGAAAAGAGTGTAAGATTATTATTATTATTTTATATTTTATGATTGATAATTTAACTGTTATACCTACAGAGCCATATTAGCTTATACAATAATGCAATCGTTCTAAATATTTGTGAAGATTTTAAAATCTCACACGATAAAAAAATTTAACAACTTAATTTATTTATATTTTTGAGTGTTAGTAATAATTTGTTTAAGTATGTATATATATGTTTTCAAAGAATCTTAATCATCATACCTGCAAAGCCTTATTGGCTTATACGGTAATATGATTATCCTAAATATCTGCAGAGATTCCAAAATCTCACATGATAAAAGAATTAAATTTATTTAAATACTTTTTTAATTTAATTAATTTAATATATAATTGATATATTTCTTTAAAAACTTGATCGTTATATCTACAGAGTCTTATCAACTCATACAATAATATGATGATCTTAAAAGTCTACAGAGATTCAAAAATTTCACGTGACTAAAAGATATAATCGGTAAATGTGATTACAATTTAAATACATTAATTTAGTTAATTAATTTTCTAAATTGTGTATTATATAATTATTTACAAAGATCATTTATTTATTATAGAGATTTAGAAATACTACACCTGTGAGGACTTATAATCCCACACGATATGTGATTAGTTTAAGTCTCTACAAAAATTCTTGAAATATCACGTGGGACTTAAATAAATTATTAATTTGGATTATAAAAGGAGAGTTAATTTTAATGATAGGTCTTTGGAATCCATATTAATATGTACCAGTTGAATCTTCATACCTATAAAATTTTATTGATTTACATGATATGAGATTATTTTAAATGCCTGCGGAAATTTTCAAAATCTCACAAGAAATGGAACTCCCTTTTGGTGATGACATAATACGCATGCAAATAGATAAAGAATGTAGAGAATCATGTTGAGACATTACAAATAGATAAAGGACCTCTATCAATATAAGGATTAACACCAAGCCATCACCTATCCTCATATCCTTTTAGGCTAAAAACATATTCAAAAACCATGTCTAACAATCACACTAATTCTTTCATTATCTGAGATAAAATTATAATGAGATTATGCCTAAAATAAAATTAGGCTAGTTACGATAGTAAGCAAAAATTTTATTTGCAATATCCTTATAATTCTTCTTCACACTCTTACGTCCATTAAGCCATACATGAACATATGTAAAATTTTGTAGTGTTCATAGCAAGAATGCTTCCAGAAACACCAAACAAAGCCAAATTCCATATCCAAGAATTCTAATGAAATGCAAGCATCTAAATGATCAAACAGGCATGTGTCAACCTCTTGTTTAGAAATTTTTCATGGTCCCCAACATTGATCAAAACTTATAGATATTTAAACATAAAATTCGTTTAGAAATGACAAACCAAAATCAAACATAAAACACTTTAAATTCAGAAGTAAGCAAATTAGAGAACCTGTGTAGAACATTTTCTTCCTTCACTCTCTGAAAAACGCAAGTCCTTTCTCCAAACCTCTCTCTATTTATTATGTCCTTCTCTGTTTTTTTCCAGCTAACTTCTACATCTGATCTTGACCTCTATTCTCTCCTCTTTGTTTTTCTAGAAATCTCCCCCTCTGATCTTGGTCTCTTCTTTCTCTCGATCTCTCTTTTTTTAGAAAAACTCTCCCTAATCTCAGTCCCTTCTTTCTCTTTGCCTCTCTTTTTAAGAAAAAAGATTCCATCTCTCCTTCTCTTCTCGGCTTCCTCTTTTTCTCAGTCTCTATTTTTCTTTTAGTTTTCTTGTCGCTCTATCTCTGTCCCTTCCGTCCGTCTCCTCTGTCTGTCTCCTCCTCGTCTTTTCTACTCTCTTTCGTGCTCTGTTTTTAGGTTCATTCTCGCTCACAATCCCCTCGTTTTTCTTCTCCTTTTCTTTGTTTCTACTCTTCTCTATTACTCTCACTCTTTCGTGCTCTATTTTCTTCTTTTCTCTTCATCTGGTTTTCTAATCTACGCTGTTCTGCTTTTCCTTCTTGTCCTCCTCCTTCTGATTTCTCTTCTCTTCTTCTTCTACTATCATCTCATGTGTGTGTCTTTGGCTCTATTTTTCTTTGCTTCTTCATACATGCATGCGTTTCTTTTTTAAAGGTAAAGCTTCATTCTCTATTTGTTGCGTGCATGCATGTGTTTCATGTGTGCATACTACTGCACGTGCATCTCTGTTTCTCTACTCTCTCTGCACACATCTCTTGTCTTATTCATCTTTGGTCTTCTTCCTCATGTGTTCTTTCTCGATTCTCTCTTTGTCTTCCATTTCGTGTCTGGCTGTGTACACATCTAATCAAGAAGCCCTTTAGGGCTGCTCTTTATGCGTGTTTTGGCTGATAATAGTCTAGTTCTGCCTTTTTTCTTCTTCTTTTTTTTTGGTTTCTAATTTTTGTTTTTTTAGATTAACACACACACGTGTGTGTATTTTTAAATGAAAAATAAGATTTAAAGAGAGAAATTTAACTCTCAAAAGTTAACTCCTAATTTTTTGAACGATTGGGATAATTTGGAGAGAGATTTTAAAAGATTTAAACAAGATTTTTTTTTGATTTTGTTAAAATATAATCCTAAAAGGGATTAATTTTTTGTATTTTTATATTTTTGATTATTTTAATGAACTAAAAGAAAAAAAATCCTAACCAAAAAAGGATTATCTAAAATAAAATTAAGCCCTATCAATTAAATTAAATTTTTTTATTTTGAAAATATAATCCTAAAAAAGATTAAATTTCATTTTTGTATTTTTATATTTTTTTGATTATTTTAATAAAGTAAAAGAAATAAAATCCTAACAAAAAAAGATTATCTAAAATAAAATTAAACCCTGTCAATTAAATTAAATTTTTTTGTTTTGAAAATATAATCCTAAAAAAGATTAAAATTCATTTTATATTTTTATATTTTTTAGTTATTTATTATTATTTTTATTAAATTTAAAAAAATATTCGAATAAAATACAGTGTTCATAGCTATTATAAGATAACTATGGAGAAAGATTGTATCAAATATGTAAGAATATGTCATAAATGCCAAATTTATGTTAACAAACTTCATGCACCCCTTACTCCTATGCATATTCTAGTATCCTCATGGCCATTCTCAATGTGGGGCATTGATGTCATTGGCCCAATTAATCCTAAGGCTTCGAATGGTCATCGTTTTATCCTTCTCTCCCTATACCAAATTGTAATCTAATGACAAATTTGGTATAAGAAGGGGTTAATGCAATCATCACATCATAAACTAAACGGGAGTAAAAGAAATTTATTTAAAATGCCAGGGAACGCAAGACTTCTTTGTTAAAACCATATGAAATCAATCACATATTAGACAATACACATTAAAAGATAATTTCTTGCATTCATCAATCTCAACACATGGTTTAAAACAAAAGAAACAAGACTTAAAAAAGGGGCATGTGCCGCGACATGCACCACAAGCACTGTGACATGTGGTATAAAGCCACGAGCTACCTGTTTGTGCCATGCACCATCACTCCAATGACAAAAATTTACTCTCATATGACAATTTACTAAGGTGAACTTTTAGTATGCATCGTTTCCTTATATGACGTTAGATCGAAGTAATTCAAATGCCCAAATGAAGTTTCATAGGTTAACTAATGAGATAAGTTCAGACATGATTCAAAATTTTGATCTAAATTTGAATACTTGGGGTGCAAAAAGTGACTTTTCTAAAAAATTTCAAGCACCAAAGCATTCAAATCGCACACTTTATCTCATTAAGTTGTTTTAGGCCTAAAACTAAGTCCAAAAGGACCATATATATATGATTGACCAACAATACGAGCTTATATATATATATATATATATCAAGGTTTGGCCACCTAACCATTCATTTACTCAATAAATAGCTGTTCTCACAACTTTATATATAAGTACCTATTAGGCCATTCGATTTATGATTTCACCACAAAATCATCACTACAAGCATAATCAAACATACATACTTTTACACATCACAATCCCAATCCCAAACTATAGTTGGGTTAGGATTCACATATTACCATATAGTCGCTACTCATATACACATTCACAACATAATTTCAGTCAGATCTTAACCCATATCACATAATTCACTACATGTATCACATTTTCACACACATTAGGCTAAGATCTTCGGAATCACAACTTATCATAATCTAAAACATGCATATGACTTCATATGGAAACTTTTGTTTTACAAATGCATAACAAAACAAATTCATTACATATGCTCTTCACCATACAGTGATAGCTCTACTATGCCAGTCCGGAACCTTTTCCTTGTCCAGATCAAAACTTGTAAAAAAATTACCATAAGCTGAGATAATAATTTTAGTAATAGAATAACTCACTACTATTAACTATTACAGGTAACTATATGCAAGTATAGCATATATGTAATCAAATAAAGTATATAATACAATTTCATATGATACAATTCCACAAAATCCTTTTTCACCACAAATTATCACCACTAGCATGATCAACTACCATTAGAACCTCTTATCACCCCGATTGAAATCATAGGCTCTTATTATGCCAATACATACTTATTGACTTGAGCGCACCTTCAGTGGTAAAATCACCAGCCAAAGGTATTTGTCCTACTTTCAAATTATGGTTTCCCCTTATCACACACAATGATCAGAGTATCGTTACTTTAACACCAAATTTCACATATACTAAGGACCTCTAATCTCTGATACCACATCCCACATGTACACTAATGAGATAATCTCTAACACTGCACTTTAATAAGTATTAAGGAGATGAAATTCTCTAACATCGCACCTTGTCAAGCACTAAGAAGAATAATGCTATATGGACTTCTCACTACTTCTCCATATGGATGAACTCCCACCCTCCTGGCTCACATATAGCCGAGTAGTTTGTATTTCACACACACACACACACACATAGCTATAAAATCATATATTTCCACAAAACCATTTCTTTGAAATCCATTTCCTTGAAATTCTTTCTTCATTTTTTCCAAAACATGCACAATTCAAAACAATTTCATGCAATAGCTATAGTATTTACAAACAGCTACATTAGACAATCACATAGAAAAAGTTATTTGGTTACCTCAACCCTTCTATTATAAGAAAGGATTACCCATGTATTTCTTATACACGTAACATCCCCACTTGCTTCCTTTTGTCAAAGCACACTCCTATCACAATAATCTACAAGCAAATAACACTATTTAGTCAATTAATCAAATTGACCACAAGTATTAATTATTACTAAAAATCACATTTAGCTATTCTTTTCCTTACACTTAGTCAATTTAGATTCATTGCAACCCAATCACCTCTTTACACCATTTGTATCAATCCCAACACACTTCTTTCACACTTTCCATTCTTTTTTATCACTAATTTAGGGCTTAATTATGGGTACAACTCTAAAGCTTTATTGTTGAACTCAAAGCTAGTCGTGAAGCCTTAATTCAACACTTGAGAACCTTTTCATTACTAAAGGGTAAGAAACAAATCCTTTAAAATTTACCTATTCAATTTCTTTATAACTTATACTAAGAGAAATTAGGATAGAATCAAAGCAAAGGGCAATATTGAAACTTACCTAATAAGATACTAGTCAGAAATATTTCCTAAGCTTTTAAGATTCAATGACCTAGCAGCCACTTCCCTTCTCTTCCTCTCTGCCCAAGTTTTCCTTCCTTTCCTCAGTAGAACCTATGAGCTTCCATATCCTTATTAATAATTTTTTTGTGCTATGCGCCATGGTGCAAGTAGCATTAGCCGTAGTACATGGCATAGTGAGGAAAAATCCTCACTATATGCTCCCGCTTCACTTCAAACATGATCCTTTCACCCATATCTGCTCATTCAACATCTCAAAGAGTCAAAGTACCAAATTACCACACAAAATCGTAATCACTCACTAATTACTAATTTACTCTCAATTAGTAATTAGTTTTAAGAATTAGAAAATCATGATGGTATAGTTTTTCCTTTCTTTTAAGAATGTTTCCCCTAAAATTCACAAAACACTTAAATATATACCTATAAAAACATATATGGATATTGTTCCCTTATTTTATCCTTCGTCTCTTAGGTAGCATCACCAGAAGTCATGCATTGCCAGAAAATCTTCATCAAGTGAATAGTCTTATTTCTCAGTTGTTTGTCTTTCATATCCACTACTTGTTCTGACTCAACCTTATAAGTCAAATTTTCCTAGAGTTCAATCTCTTTTGATTCTATAACATGAGGGGGGTTTGGTTGGTACTTCTTAAGCTGTGACATATAGAACACATTGTGCACGCCTAACAATTATTGTGGTAAATAAACTTTGTAGGCTACAGGCGGTCCTTTCCAGAATCTCAAAAGGACTAATGAATTTAGGAGTCAACTTTTTAGCTATAATTGACCTCCCGATTCCTGTCACTGGTGTAACCTTTAGAAACACATGGTCACTCACCAAGAATTCCAAAAGTTTTCTATGCCTGTTTGCATAACTCTTTTGTCTACTTTAAGTCGCTAACAACTTTTATCTTATTAATTAAATCTTTTGAGTCAT